GGGAGGAATCGTATTACTGGGATTATGTCTACATGGGTTTGTAGACATTGGGAGTTAAAGAAATAGTGACTGAACTGGTAATGAAAATATCTGGGACAATAATGGTGCACGGAAATCTGGTGATGGCTACACTTGAAAAATTTTCTCCCAATATATTTGAGGGGATTGTAAGTACAAATGAATTAATGGAAAAACATTTGAGACTGGCTGTTCCACAATAAGAAACTCCAATATTGTTGCTTTTTAAAAAATCAGGCAGCTCAAGTAAGCAAAATATTTACTTACTGTATCACTTAAAGCATTTTTTGAGGATTTTGAGAGCTCCTAGACATGAATTTTAATCTGGAAGGTTTCCCTTTCAAAAGAGGATAAATTGAGGCACAGATCCTAAACTTGTCCGCTTTCCTAGGATGGACTTAGTAAGCCAACAGAAATCATGGATTATCATACTAGAACCCTTCCTTAGAGACAATTCCAATTCTTTAAATTTTGACTTATTAAGGATTTCAGGACACTCTGTAATTTCACTTTTGAAGTTCTATACACATTGAATAATCAGTCTTTAATCAGTTTAAATTAAGTTTAAATAGTGGCCTTAAAGATCAATTCAAGCACTTTCTGTTCTTAAGGTTAATGAATACTATTTTGAAAATTAGCATATATATGAAGACATATATAACATATAGGGCTGTTAGTTTCATTACAGGAAAGAGAGCTAAGTAATTGCATGCTTTCAAAATGTTCAGCTGTGCACTGTACTTAAATATTACTTTACAGAACATAAGGAATGGATAATAACCTGGAGTTAGTAGAATTCATATGCTCCCCTCTGAATGTAAAAGTGTGTCTTTTCTCCTCAGTCTCTTCCTCATTGATTCCTATCCTCTTAGCTTGTCAATTTTACAGTCCTTTGTGTAAAGACTTGACCTGCTGATGAATTTATTTCAGGTGGGTTTATGTTTTCCTCACCTGGATGGTTTGAAATGCAAAACATTCAAAGTACAGCTACTGCAACAAACTCCCTCAGTGGAGCTTGCCTTGCTGCACACATTGCTCTTGGAGTCTCACTCACCTTTGAATTCAAACATCACAAAAGATGAAAAATAGCATGGTCTCAAGTGCTATAATTAATGCTGCTAAATTTTGCTCCTTTGCTGTCCTGTCCATGGCTGTGTTGTGCAGAATTTCTTCAATTAACATGTTGTTTCTCTCACAAAGCAATAGGGGGAAATTTTATCCTCTGGTACTTTTTAGAGTGTTTCTCTCTAATATCCCGGTATTTTATATGTTTTTGTTGATCCTGTGTATGATTTTGTTGTTAAGTCAGTAACTATAACATTACCAAAAAATTATGTCATCTGTGCACAGCAGTCCTGGGTGAATGTAAAAAGTCTGGGCATGGACCAAATGGGAGAAAGGGAGGGGGAAAACCCCATGTGCATAAAGACATGTAAGGACAAATGCAATTGAACATTAAAACACCAAACTATTTCTGTGCTGAAAATGAACTCAAATAAAGCAGTCATTGTCTCAGTCACTCCAGTATTTATGAGTCCCCTTGTTGTCATATAAAAATATTTCTAGGATCTCTTACCTGTCTAATATTGAATACCCAGTTCCTCCTTTTTTTTCTAGAAGACTTCGGCACATTTCTGAGATCCTGGACTATGACTTTACATGTCTTTCACCTCTTTGAAAAGGAAAAAACTCAACATTTTTATCAGCTTTTTTTCTAATTATTTTTATAAACTGTGTTTATTTTTCATTATTAATCATTTTTATGGTTTTATTTTCAGTACTTTTCCTATTGAGCTTATTTTCACTTTCTGAACCTGTGCAATCTTATCTGATTGGAAAACAAAAAAAAAGCTGCCAGAAACATAAGTTAATTTCCTTCAGTACTTTACCACACTTTTTTTTGCTGTCAATCTGTGCAATTATATTGTGTTGGACTTTCACAGCAAAGTGTTACACATTTATTTTTACCTATTTCCACATGCAAAAAAGAAAATATCTTAAGAGAAATATCAAATTGCCTACCATACTATTTATCTTCAGCACTTAATATTTTGTCAGATAACTAGGTCCTGGAAAACGAGGAAAATGTACTCCTTACAGCACAAATGACAGATGTCATCAAAACTGAAAAACTTCAGTGGGCAACTACCAAAGAGTACTTTTATTTTGTTTCAGTTCTGGGAAATAATTTGTGAAACTTGGTGTTAAAAAACAAAACAAAACAAAAAACAAAAACAAAACAAAACCAAAACCAGCAGAATATAATATTAGAAGCAATATTATAATAATATTATAACAATATAATTAATAATATAATAGTATTGTATTATAATATTGTTAATATATATTATAGATTATTACACATTATATATAATACATTATATATTGTATATAATAATATAATATATATTATATATAGAAATATATTTTTATATACTATTTATCATTATATATTATATATATAATATAATATAACAATATTATTATATAATTATAAATATGTTATTGAGAACTATTTGGTAGCTTTTGAGGGCCTGAAGTCAGCACATGTATTTTCAGGACTAGAAATCTGAGAGCTGCTCCTGAACTAGAGACCAGAATTTAAAACACAATACATGAAAAAAGAGGCCCTCATTTCAAACTTGATATGTATTTTTGGAATTATTCATGTCTGGGTTCACTTGTCCATATATAAAAGGAAAAAAAATCTTACAATTTTTCTAAGTGTGAAAATCAGAAAGAAAGAAAATGGAGGGCCTGTTAAAAATTGTAATGACCACTTTTAGAAATGCATTTTTCTCAAAATTATCCAGCCCTTAATAAGTATAATAAAAAAATAAAATGACTCTGCTGCTGGCTTTTGAAGCATGAAATTTTGACATTTCTCTGATTCAAACCAACATTTCTAAAGAAACGTTTCAGACATCCCTAGACAAAACATAGTATTGAAATCCTAATATATTTATTTTGAAACATAAATAGAAAGGCTCCCATTGATAGCAGTGGGAATGCACGATGACCTTTTGCTAATTTGAAAGTACAGAAGTTTGAAATGGAGATATTTGAAACCAGTAATGAAGCTTACAGCCTGAATAATACATACTGTACTGCCTGTCATTTTTATTGTGTAGTGCCATAATTTATTCACTATGCTAATGGTGCAGGTGAGGATTTTCTTTCAAGCTAATTGAAATCAGTAATGAACACAAACCCTTTAGATCACCCTGTTACTCATTAATTACAAAACTGGAATGTCTTTACATTGTAGAATCCATTTGCTCATTTTTTCCTGTAATGGTAATACACTCTCCACAGATAGAAGTCTATAAAATTTTTATAATGGACAGCAGGAGTTTTTGTGCCTCCTGATGATAAAAGTAAAGGTTTCAATTTTTCTGAAGAGTAATAGAAGAATATTTCATAAGTATTCAGCCATAGCATGACACCTACTCAAACCTATTTCAAAGCCGAAACAAAATTGGGAAATAATTGAGACCATGTGGAGATGCAAAATGAGGAGCTACTCTGTCCTGTTGCTAAATTTCTAGGTCAGGACATACTACTGTTCCTTTTCACACCTGATTCAGGAAAGGTGTCCCTGCCCATGGCAGGGGGTTGGAACAAGATGATCTTCAGGGTCCCTTCCACCCCAGGCCATGATGATTCTATATTATTATGTTATAATGCTTTGCTGAAGGAGGTCCTGTTTCAGTCACAGCTGCAGCTACATGGATAGAGATTAAATTGAATGCAGAACTGCACCTTGGCCTCATTCCTTATCATAAATAATGCTAGAAAATACACTGTATTGTTCTTAAAATGTATATAATGACATTAGTATCCTGTGGCGTTACTCAGTGCCATTTCATGTAACCACAGTATTTGCTGGCTCAGCGTTTGGATGTGGACCCACAGTTTGCCGTTTCCAAATTTTATGTTTTAAGCCATTATATTTTTTTGTTTTGTGCATGATGTAGCATGGGTGTTCCTATGTGGTGGGACAGGAGAGCTTCCATGACTTTGACAGTTTTTCATGAGCGATTTTTTAAATAACTATGAGAAATTTTTTGCACTGGTTTTAAAGGACGATTTTCACAGAACGTGCTGAGTTGGAAGAGACCCACAAGGATCATTGAGTTCAACTCCTGGCCCTGCACAGGACATCCCAAGAGTCATACCATGTGCATGACAGCATTGTCCAAATACTTCTTGAGCTCTGTCAGGCTGGCGCTGTGACCACTTCCCTGGGGAGCCTGTGTCAGTGCCCAGCCACCCTCTGGCTGAAGAGCCTTCTTGTAATATACAACTAAATCCAACTTCTAATATCCAACTTCTAATATCCAGCTTCAAATATCCAAGCTTCAGGGCATTCCCTCGGGTCCTGTCAGTGTCACCATAGAGATCAGCACCTACCCCTACTCTTCCCCTCACGAAGAAGTTGTAGACTGCAATAAATCCAGACTAGATTTACATAATTTTAAACAGCTTAAGGTTATTTTAGCATTTCTGAATAGCAAAAAACTCTGCTCAAAGACGTTCCAGCTTTCTGGCATTCTATCCAATAGATGTAAGCATTTCAGGATAGGTGATGACTGTTATTTTTAATGGCAAAAACCCGCCCCTTCCTAGAAGCTCTGAATATGTGAGTTGATACTGATACCTGCAGGCCCGGTGATTTGTCTAATCAGGAAGAAGGGAAGACAAAGGGGAAAAGCCGGGGAAAAGCAAGGGAAACAGTAGGACACCCAGCGGACGCGGCCTCCTTCAGCCCCGGGCGGGGCGGGGCGGGGCGAGGGGCGGCCCCGTCCCGATCTCGCGATGGGCGCGGGCCCCGCCCCCGGCGGTAACGGCCGTACCCGCCGGGCCTCGCGGGCGCTGTTTACGGCGGCGCAGCCAATGGGCGGGCGGGGCGCGCGGGCGGCGCGGCCAATGGGCGGGCGGGGCGGTGCGTTTGAACGGCGCGGCGCGAGCATAGGGGTCCGTGCGCTGCCCGCCATGCCCGGCCGCCCCGACGACTACGAGGTGCTGCTCACCATCGGCGCCGGCTCTTACGGGAAGTGCCGTAAGGTGCGCCGCAAGGCCGACGGCAAGGTGAGGAGAAGGAGGTGGCGGCGGGGGTAGCGCAGCTTTGCTGCTGCCGTGCGTCCCTGCCCGCTGGTGGCGGCTCTCCGCGACACGCGAGGGAGCGGCTGTGGCAGCCCTTCTTCCCCCTGCGCGGCCTCGGCCGCTGTCCCAGTCACTCCCCAGGATGTTTCTGCCTCCGCAGATCTTGGTATGGAAGGAGCTGGACTATGGCGCGATGACGGAGTCGGAGAAGCAGATGCTCGTGTCGGAGGTGAACTTGCTGAGGGAGCTGCGGCACCCGAACATCGTGCGCTACTACGATCGCATCATTGACAGGAGCAGCACCACCCTGTACATCGTCATGGAGTACTGCGATGGGGGAGACCTGGCCGGCTTGATCGCCAAGTGCGCGAAAGAAAGGCATGTGAAATGTGCTTGTGGCGCATTTGGGATGTCTTGTACAGTCCAGAGGGAAGGGAAGATTACCTTGTAACTTCTGAACAGTTTCCGGTTTAACTCCTTGGACCCAACAACCCTTCTCAAATGTGAAAGGTTTTGTACAAGGTTACAACAGTGATGGGAACTGTGCTAGTGAAGGCATCACCGGATTGGATGTTGGTGCTGAAGTAGTAAAAAACCCAGAGCTCTCGTGTGAGGCAGAAGCTGTTGAGGGGTTTCTGGCTACGAATGGGGTTGAGAACATAAACCAGGAGGTCACAGCTCTTTTTGACAGGCAGCTTGTTCCGTGGGTCCTGGCCTTCCCCATGAGTAAGACTCCTGAGACCCTATGTCTTATGAGAACACCAAAATGTGTAAGGGAGGAGTGATTTTGAGCACAATGTGAAAAGCTGTTTTATCTGCCTATATATAAAGCTTGGAGAGACATCAAGTTGATAAGGCTTGATCTAATCTTAGACTTAGTATCCTACTTAAGTATAATGTTAGTTTTCACATTCTTAGGTCAAACAGATACATGACAACACCTCTTTTACTTTGTGGGGATAGTCTAAAACAGTTCTGCAGCTGCCTGCCAGCATCAGTGTTTTCATTTAAGGAAGTTTGTATTAAAAAAATCAGCTGTGTTTTGGCTGTGATGAGCAATGGCTAGTTGCTCATTATTAACAGGTGGCAGTGTATTGTTATCTTAAGTGTTATTATCTTAAGTGATCAGAGGGGCACATCTCATTACAAAAACATCAAATTGATATTTGTGTTGTAAGTAGTGAAAATGCTATGTGTTTGTTAGATGGTTTGGGGAGAAAAATACTGCAGGGATTCTGAAATGAAAGCTTCAATGTCTTCTAACATATTTGCTGTGACTTTTTTTTAAAAAAAATCCATTTAAAAAGTAGAATATATAGATGCCTGTTGCTGATAGTGGTTATTTCAGTGGTGTTTTATGATAGTAGTATTAAAAAGTTATGGAACTAAAACTGGCAGAGACTAATCAAACTGATGTGTGCTCAGAAAATACGTTAAACCATGTGTTCATTTTTCAGGCATTTTTTGGATGAAAGCTTTGTTCTCAGAGTGTTGACTCAATTAACATTGGCCTTGAAGGAGTGTCACAGACGGAGCGATGGTGGAGTCACTGTGCACCGTGACCTGAAACCAGCAAACGTCTTTCTAGATGGCAAACAGAATGTGAAACTTGGAGATTTTGGACTGGCTAGGATATTACACCATGACACCAAATTTGCCACAACGTTTGTTGGCACTCCATACTACATGTCTCCTGTAAGACCTCCCTCTTATGATACGTTATCTTCCCCTTCGCCCCTCCAAGGTGTGCTGTGTTGCTCTCAGAGTCCATGGATATTGGGGAGGTTTTAATGAAGCCTTATTGGCCTTAAACACAGGTGACTCTTTTTCATAGAGTATGTATGTTCTGGAGACAAGGTTATTTTGCAGTTATTTTCATCTCCTTTCTTCCCCACACAATCAATTTCCTTTTAAATACAATTGCTCTTCACTGTATAAGTTTTGTTCTGGGGACATTAGAGTAGTTGGAGAATATTGTTTACTGTTTTCAATATTGTATATTGAAAAGGAACAGGGAAGTTAGAGAGCTTTTATGCTTCATACTGTTAACGTAAGGAGCTTATTAAATTACCTCGTAATGGTAGGATTTTAATTTGTAGTGGAAACGAGGAGGAATGACTTATTCCCTGATACAGGGCACTTCTTGTCAGTCAACATAAAACTTTCCCACACAGAGTTGCATCAGTTAAAGATGGGTGGAACACTTCAATCTTCTACAGTGTAGTACTGCCACAAATAGTTAAAATCCTTCTAGTAAGAGTAGATACGGATATTAATTAAGATGGAATATTAGAACATCAGAAGTTGTTCCAGTATATTACGGTTTATTTCAGGTTTAAATAGTAGCTGATTATCCTGCAATAGTGAAACCATGTCTTTGTTAATAAACCTAAGATTGTTCTATTTCTTTAGGAACAAATGAACTACATGTCATACAATGAAAAATCTGACATCTGGTCGCTGGGATGTCTCGTGTATGAATTATGTGCTCTTTCGTAAGTATGGTGGTATGATAACAAATGTGGAAACATAACTGCTAATGTAGGTGTGATTGTATTTTTTGTAGATGAAAGCTTAAAGGTTTCAGAGACTAGTCCTAGATTTTTATTTCTCTATTCATCTTGACATTGGGTATTCAAAACAAACCTTGACTGCAGGGCTTCTTCATAGTCTGATATTTTTTTTTTTTCTGAAAATAAGCCCTGTAAAACTAGTGAAAGAATCCAAGAAAAAATTTCTTCTTCAGGCCTCCATTTACGGCTTACAACCAAAAGGAGCTGGCAGAAAAGATAAAGGAAGGGAGGTTCAGGCGAATACCATATCGTTACTCAGATGAGCTGAATGACCTTCTCAAAGAGATGCTGAATGTAAAGGTAAGAACCAATTACTAATTTTCCAGCTATAATTTGAGCTAGTACTGAAATACTAGTTTTCCTTCTCAATTATGAAACAAACCAATCTGAAGCAGTGGTTGTTATCACCTTGTCACTGGCAGTGTCACTTGTAGAGGAAGGAGGGAGGAGTTGTGCTTGGAGTCCATCAAACAAAGGCAGCAGCTCAGGTGTCATGCCAGGGTCACAGGATGCCAAAGGCTGCCTCAATATTAGCTTACATGGGATTTCCTGACTGCATGCTTATTGAGGTCTTAGAATTTCAGCATTAAGATGGTTCCAGTGTGTTTGGAAGCTGAAAGGGGCTATTTTGTCTTCATTTTGGGGTTTGCTTTATATGGCTAATGTATAGCTTGTTCCCCCCATGGCTGCTGTGGGGGTGCTGAGAAGAACATGGCATGGGACAACAGAGCTGCAATAAGCACCCAAGCTTCCAGCAGGTATGGATTGTTCAGCAGAGTATTAGCTGAGGAATCTGCTGACAGCTGCCTCTGCAGGCTCACCCACCCCCTTCTGACCCTGCAAGAAGAGGGTCCCTGTGCTGGGAGACAGACTTGCAGCTCTGGATCTGGAGGCTTGTAATGGCCTCCTCCCTTAGCTCTTATCATCTGGTTGTGCTACTGCTTCCTAACTCCAGTTTTCTCCATTTTCTCCTTCGCTTTGTAGCACCTCAGCTGGTCTTGCTTGGGAACCTCTGGCCTTAATGTTTCTTTTTACAGATGGAACGTGTTGGTAATGTCTTTCCTTTAGGATTACTGCCGACCTTCTGTTGAAGATATTCTGCAGCGTCCCTTGATAGAAAATGTGGTGACAGAAGAACTAAAACAGAATTTTGATAGAAGAGGCTTGAGACCACGGGAGCCAGAAAGGCCGCAGTACTCAGATGTTGCAGTGAATGAGCTGAAACGGAAGGAGCAACAATTACAGGAGCGAGAGCAAGCCATTAAAGAGAGAGAACAACGTCTGGAGCGTATGCTATTCCATTTTGGGAAGGGGGTGGCAGTGGGATTCTGATTCAGTTGGAGGAAGAAAAAGTAGAAAGTTTTCACAACCCTCATTTTAATGCACTAGGATACTGTAGTCCTGCATTCACCACTAGAATTGTCTAATGACCAAACCAAGAATGCTCAGGGCTTACTCTGCTATACTAGCTTCTGTTTTAATTTACTAAGATAGAATTGGCAGTTTGTATATGGAAGTCTGGTTTGTGGAAGATTATTAAACATGAGTGGCAGGGAAGTATACAGAAACGTAGGGTCTGCACTGTGCAGTGTAGGTTGCTTTTCACCTACTGTGCAAGTAGAAATTGCCTATACTAACATGTATAAGGTGAGCCTGATGCTGGAGGAAAAAAAAAAATCTTTGAGTAAACTGTCAACTGCTTTTATAAAAGCTGCACTCCCACAGGTAGTTTACCTGAGTCTGTAGATGGCTGGTCCTCAGGTGCTGGCATTTCCTGCCCACATAAAATATCTCTCTTCATATGCAATAGTCTCTGCAATACAGTTTTTAGCCATATGTATGAACCTGAGTAACAGCTGCTACTGTTGTGAGCAGTGTTTAATTATAGCTGAATTATAATATCTGGTATATAAATATTTAAATCTGTTGTCATGTGTGCCATGAGTTAATGTGCATAATAGAAAGTTGCTATCTATCTGTTATGTTGCAGACGTGTCAGAGTTTGGGACAGAAGTATGCCTGGCATTTCAGAGTACTTGTCAGTGCTTGATTAGTGCATTGATAAAGATGTATCTACGCAGCAGTTACCTTTGTTTAGAGCCATAGAATCAGAAGTGTGGGTGCATCTGACTGGCTATTACTGCTGTCTTTCCCTGTAACAGAAGCCTACCATGCACAGTCACTCTAACATTTACATGTTCACACTGCATACTACCGTATTTCTACTTCCAGAGAGAGAACGGGAGCTTTGTGTTCGGGAGAGACTGGCAGAGGACAAACTTTCTAGGTATCTTACTAACCTATAGTAGTCTATATTAGAAACTCTACAGTCATACAACAAAAAGCTTAAACTTCTCTTCCCAATCCAGAGCTGAAAACCTGCTGAAGAGGTACAATCTCCACAAGGAGCAGCGGGAGGTAACGTGTGCGGAAGGTCCAGGTATGCAAATACGCAAGAAGGCACTTGCAAAGGTCCATGTAGGCTGGTGTGAACTGAAGAAAGTCCCTGGTGCTCAGCATGCTCGGCACAGTCCCCTTGGGGCACGGCAAAGCCCAGTTATGGCTGCATGGTTGAGAAAAGACTTTTGATTTTCTGCTTTGCAAAAGGACTTAATGAGTGATGCTCAGCCAAAAGTCTGTGTTAGCACTGTTTGCACTGCAGCCTTGTGCTGTCTGAGAGGTTAGGTTGTTGTGGTGAGCTAAGGGAAGTGCCTCCTTGTAACCCAAACCTTTCTCAGAGCTGCACTTATTTTATGTATGGATGTCTTTTTACAGATCTTTAATTTAATTAATTCTAATAAAATTGCACATTTCTAATAAATTCAGCTTTCATTAAACCCCCAAAAGCTTTAACGTGGGAAATACTATTTGTTGCAAGGAACCCAGCTGTGACTGGTGGGTGCATCATATAAACTATGAAGAATACACATTGCTATTATAAAGAAACTCATATTTGGAAATGTACTAAAATACTTCCTGACTGCCTCTAGTACAGTCTGTTTTACAGTAGTATTTTATACTCACTTGGCCCTTGGTTGTTCAGCCTTTGCTATCATAAGGGTATCATCTGTTAATTGCTCCCATATTTTATTACTAAAAATAATATTCAAGTATCTAAATGCCTTTTTAAATAGTGGTAGGAATAATGAAGGGATGCGTCAGAAGTCATGCTCTAGAACAAAGCCATGTGAACACTCTTTAACATGCAGTAACACTCTTCATTTAGTTTTGGTCTGATAAAGCAGGATAAGCATGTCCCTGCCTCCCAACCAAATAAAACTGAAGTAGCTTTTTTTTTTTTTTCCAAGAACTGCCTATCAGAGCAGGAAAGGACACAAGTAAAATGTCCCTAGAAAGTGAGTGCTCCTTGAGCAGTTTATAACATTTCTGTCAACTTTGAGAATTCCACCCGTCTCTCAACATCTTGTCTGACATCATCACATTAAAGAATTTGAGAACAAACTTGCTTTTGGCTTTCTGATGTTGCATCTAAAATTGGATGACTGAAGGCAAATGAGCTTTAGCTCTGACTTCTGTTCTTTTCTGCATTTCCCATCCATTTGCATGATATTTTGACCCTACCATATTAGTTTTTGAGGATAGGCAAAACCAGTTTGGATGGTTAATACCTCAAGCTAGATAATGCAAAGTGAACATAGTGCAAGGTTTGGTCAGGTTTGTAAAAACTATCTGTAGAGCATGTGACTTGCTGCTCTTCCATTTCATTCTATGGTTCTCTTGTAACACTGTCTAAAATTATGCCTATTCTCATACAAATGGAATGTTTCTCCAATAGTGGTACCAAGATTGCTTGCTTGCATTTTCAGTTGCTCAAATATTACTGGACTGCATCTCACACATCTCTTAGATCCCTAACTTCTAGGAGAAGTCCATTGAGTGGTTCACTTTGACAGTAAAATGGAATACAAAAAATCCTGGTTTTTAAGACAGTGTCCTAGACACGATGCTATTTTTGCAGGGATTTTTCTTAGTGAACCATTTAATGTTAAAACAGATCTGACTTACAGTAATGAAGCTAAACAATGCTGAAATATTTGCTGGCTTTTTTAATTCCTTCTTGCTTTTTAAATTCCTTCTTGCTCTTTTATGCTTCCTGCATTCTTGCTGTAGCCTCATAAATTGACAATTAAGGCTTCAGTGTTAAGATTAGAATAGTTAGACCTTTGATTAAATAAAAATCACACCTTAAGTTGGGCCTTGTGAAGTTGGCTCTTATGTGAGGCAACTCAGGTGTTACAAAAGCTTTTGATGGCAGTTGTTCTACTCCTGAGTCAGTAACTGCCTTTTGATAGTGGCACGCTGTAGGACACACTACGAAAATTCCTGTTCTAGAGGCTGCAGTGAAAGTAGCTTATTAATTTTTAATACATCTAAACTTATTACTCATCAAGTCAGAGCCTAATTTTGTACCCCAGTGACTTATTATAAGGATAGAGTTGGAACAATGTGGGTAAAATACAAAGACCACTGGAAAGGATGCAAAGGCAAGGTTTTTCAAAAAAATTAAGCTGAGAAGCTGAAAATTCATTCTGCATTTTCTTTTGAAATTGGCTTATGTTGCTTTTTTTTAATTCCTGTCCTTAAGAAGAAATATCATGTCTTTTCTTCTGAATCAACTAATCTTTCCTTAGGTATTGGGAGGTGCACCCTAAAAACTACTCTGACATATATCCTTTAGCCACCATAATTTAAAAGGCTTGTTTTCAATTTTTTTTCCCCTCAAAAAATAGAAAAGAATTGTTGCTAATAACTGAGATGCGTTTAATTAGATCACTTAAAGCCATAGGTAGATGACAAAATGGGCACCAGGGTTAAAGGCAATAAATGCTGGAAGATGCACTAATGCAGTACTTTTTGATTTCTTAAGATAACGCACTCCTGCTTCCCCTTTCTACAACCAAGAAGAACTCACTCCTTGATGGAAGTGAAGAGAAAGCTGTGTCTCCTCATAATATGGAAAACTATTTCCTTTCCAAAGGGAAAAGCTCTGATCTCAAAAGTCGTCTCTATGCTGCAAATCTACGAGCTCAAGCACTGGCTGAACTGGAAAAAAACTATCAACTAAAGAGCAGACAAATCTTGGGCATGCGTTGAAACTGTAACAGATATATTTATCTTTGAAAAGAAGATTAAATGTATAGGCAGATACTTGTGCCTCCCTCTCTTAAGCTAGAACCTACTGAAGAATTATTTTTACACTTGTACAAACTCTTAGTTTATGATAGGTAGTTTATGATAAATGCATAAGATGCTCTATGATGAAAATAGGTACTTTTGATACCAAATAAAACAAATTGAATTAATTGTATTCTTAAAGAAAAATATTTTGGTCCTCCTGTTTACCATACATTTCTGAAAATATAAAGAATGAATATATATAAATTATTTGTTTAAAATCTGATGTGGAAAACTTTTCAGGTGAAAAATGTACAGAGATTCATAGTCTATAGGTTAAAATGATGCTGTATGTAATGCACAGTTGTTGATAAAGGAAGTGATATTCTGTATATGTGGGAAAACAGTGCCTTCTTTTCTGCAATTGTAAATATTTTATAACAAAAAAGCACAAAGATTTTTTGCATCTCTTCCTACTAAGTAAGTGACTTATCAAAGCAGGTTACTTTTAATGTTATGTTTTGACTAATGAGTGGGATGAGAAATAATGTAATTTCTGGGTTTATATTCCTTTCCTGCCTGAGCAGCTGAATGCTTTGTCCATCCTCCTACAAGACCTGCGTCAGGGTATGGCATTTGAAATAACAACTTCTTTGCCTTGCCTTGAAACTGTATTATAAACTGATCCCCTGAGACTGCTGTCTAGGATGGGACACTATCCAGCATATTGGCATCTGTGTTTTGGGGTGGGGCAGTTGTCCTTTAAATAGTAAAACCTTATTTTCTTGAAGTTTAGGAGGTATCTCCATCTTACCCTTTACAATTCCCTGCTGGTGTAGGAGTTGCTCACTTAAGGTGGTGTAAGTTTCATAAACTCAGACTCAATGAATTTTAAAATATCCTTTGAAACTGGCATATGTTTTATATGAAGATTTTTTTTTCTTTCTGGATTGAAATGTCATAAAACATACATTCTTAGAAAACAGCTTGTTTTCAAAACATCTCTTTCCTTACTGGGCTATGAATGTTATCTGAGGAGGTATTCTAGATGGTTTTTAGTTCATAAAAGAATCTTCATTGAAACATCAATTTAATTTGACATAGTAGATATCTTAAGGGTCTCTTCCAACCTCAATCATTCTGATTTGCAGGAAAGAAGTACTTGTGTAACCCAACAACAATCTGCTCTAGCAGATTCTTAACAACCAGCAGAACTTAACATTTGCTTGCAGAGTGGTTGCTGTTTTCACCACAACCTTTGCTTAAAAGAATTAGACATGACTATTTTGTTTGCTGATCTAAAACTAACAACGTTTTGGTGGTCATTCCCCAGCACTAGGTGTGGTGGGAATGTGCCATGTGGATCAGTGCAGCTTTCCTCTGCATTCCATCATATTTCTGAAGCTTCTCACACGTATGTGAAGGGTAAATCCCTGCTTTGTCACCATTTTTGCTCACTCAGGTTTTTCTGTTCCATGCCTCAATCACTGCATTGCACTGCTATGCAGTTCTGGCCTTCGTGGATCTTTATGGCTTAACCCATAAAACATTAAAGGGTGAGATGCACAGTGGTGTTAGTACAATTGGAAAAAATACAAAGGATTCAAGAATGTTTTGCCTGTAAAACTCAGGTGTCAGTGAAAGGAGGAAAACAAGTAGCCAAGAAAATAATACTGATTCATGAAATTCCATATTCATAGCATCACAAAATGGTTTGGGTTGGAAGGGACCTTACAGTTCATCTGCTTCCAACCTCACTGCCATGGACAGGGACACTTCTCTAGATCAGGTGCCTCAGAGCTCACAGCCTGGCCTTGAACACTACCAGGGACCACCCAGGAAACATCCATAAATTCTCTGGGCAACCTGTTCCAGTGCCTCACCATCCTCACAGCAAAGAATTTCTTCCTAGAATCTAATCTAAACCTACTGCCTTTCAGTTAAAAGCCATTCCCCCTTGTCTTGTAACAGCGTGCTCTTGTAAACAAGCTGCCATCGTCTAGACTCCATCCAGGTACTGGAAGGCCACAGTTAGGTCACCCCAAAGCCTTCTCCAGGCTGAACAATCCCAATTCTCTTAACCTTTCCTCATAAGGGAGCTGCTCCATCCATCCAATCATGTGAAAGGGCTGGTGTTTACAAATGCTTTGCTTTTAACACGACCAAGGTAAGAAAATGGCTTGAGAGTATATTTCTTCTCTTGGAACACACATTTCTGCATTTAAAAGTAAAATGCCTTGAGAGCACCGTCTGTGGCTTTCCTCTTTAATTCTCTAGTAACCTCAAGATGGCGCCGTTGCCTTGTCATTTATAAGAACTTCCTCTATTATACATTCATCCAGAACCTAATATCTTATTTACATTTCTTTTTACCTGTTTTGTTCTAAGCACGTTGCTGCAAGATGCTGACTTTCTTTGGCTACGGCTGCCTTAGTACTTGCTGGTGCAATTAATTATAATTATCTCCGATTTTCCATTTTGCATCTTTATGCATGCATTATAAAAATAGCTGAATCAAGGTCCTGGTTAACAACTATGCTGTTATGAATCCGAAGTGCTACAGAGAGTGCAAACTGTATCAATCACAATGGCAGTAATAAATGAGAACAGCTTAGGTGACAACTGTAGCGTTAAGCTGCTTAACTGCATTTCTTACAGTGTCTTCTTGAAGTATTATCACTCTAATATGATAAATGTAGTATTTCTTGAGGTTTTTGAAATAAGAACTTCCTACCAAGATGTGCCAAACATAGTAAAAGGCATCCTGGAGATGGTATTCGTTCTCTCAGGATTTTTGCTTTGAAATCCTGAAACTCACATTTTCCTACAAGGGCGTAATTGTTTTTCTAATAGAACGTGTGTAGCATTGGAATCACACTCAGAATGCACTTTTCAAACATATTCAGGGAATAGAACATTCACAAATAGAACATTTATGGGAATGGTGACTGCTTATGGAGTACTTCCAAAACATTGCCATCATGCTGATGGATATACTAATGTCTTAGAAGGGAAAGGAAAAGTGTGCATATGGACATGGTACAGCTTAAGCCTTATAGGATTATAATAATGGTGTACACTGTGGAATGTTGTGAGAGAAATTAATTAATGTTTAATACAGATGTCAGGAATTTTAATAATATGATTAGTTGTGAGCACCTCTGGAGTTGCAGAAGTTTTATATGCATAAGAACATCAAGGATAACCTGGAGGGAAAGTTGTATTTTCTTTGAAAAATACTGACTAGTCTCCTGATTTTCAGCTGTCATGCCCTGTACCCTCTGCAGCCAGCTAAACAGCACTTAAAACAGTGTGAAAGGGCTGGCTGGCTGGGCAGATAAAAAAATGAAAATCAGACATAAATATAGAGGACCATCAAACTTCTTCATAAAAGTGGAAGATGCCACTTCTGAGTCTCCTCCTCTTTGGGTCTCTGTGTGGCCCCTGCACCCCAGAAGGGTCTTCTCCGCAGTGGTAAATCTGTATTTCTCCAGCTGTGGCAGACCTTTGGCTGTTGCTCATCACCCATTCCACCAAAGGGATGTGGAAAATATGTGGGGGGACCACAATGCCATCAGTGGAGCTGATGCTGTGCTGGAGATCCAGTAACCCCCCGCATGGGGTGTTAATAGAATCTAGGTATAATAGCATATAAAACTTCTCAAAAACAATCTGACAGCCAGAACCCACTGTTCTCTGTCATGTTCTCCACCTCTACAAGAGTTGTAAAACATCAGTAGCAGCATTTCCAGATTTTCATTCAGCTTTAGTGGTTATTGCTTAGGGTCGATTGTTTAGCCTTCAGAGCTTGCCATAGATTGCCAGGGGTTTAGGGCTTACAGGGTATCCCTGTGGTCCAGGGCCTTTGGTTTATTGATCCCTGTGCTGTCACGCCTCCTGCTTTTTTCATTTAAGATTCATAGCCTATATTTAGTGTTTTGTGGTTTGCTAGAGTAAATTGTAAACTCCTTAGAAATACAATTCTCAAATTCTACCCCTGAAGTAAGATCTGTAATCTTTCTTCACTGCACAGGGTTCCTCTCTCTGTGGTCTGTGTTGATTGATACTGGGACTCCTCTTAGTTCAGCTAATGAAGTCCACAGAATGGGTCAGACACGAGTGAGGGAAGGGGTGGATGGATCGGGAGGTGTCAGGTGTAAACCCAGGGTAGGCATTTCTCTTCATGAGGAGCTCCTGGGGATAGAAAGGAGACCCAAGAGACTTCCCTGTCTCCCACAATCCCCTTCTTCCTTCAGTATCCATTTTCCAATCAATAAACATTATAGTTTACTTGATCACTTTCCTGCCAGGGGGCACAAAGCGCTCCAAAATAAACCTTGCTAGAGTCCAGCTTTGCCTGGCCATTTTGCAGGGGCCTACAGGTGGAAGATGAACAATTTGGACAGAGGTTGAGCTGAAATGCATTTTGCCACTTCTGATTTCCACCCAGCTTTCACAGGGGGTCTCACAGGAGATCTCTGTCCCTGCAGCCCACTTGCTTTTCACATTCACATGTGTGCCTGGGTGGCAGTTCAGGGTCACTGAAGTGGCTGCTGCAGTTTGAAACAGAGGCTGTTGATTCATTCTTTGGGTTGCCTAACCCCCTTCCTAACTGCAATAAAGCTAGTGAGAAAGGACACAAAAAATTGCCTTGGAGGAAGGGGGACCAAAAGCATAAAGTTTATTTTTGACTGTGAATAAAGCGTTCATCCTCATAAAAAGTGTTTTCTCCTAACCCCCTTCCTTCAAACTCACAGGCTGAGTGATGTTTTGAGGTGCTGGCACTCCAGGGAGAGGGAGAGAAGACAGAAACTGCTGGTCAGTGGAAGAAAACAACTGTGCACCCTCTCCCAGTGTCCCCAGTGCCCCCAAGTGCGCAGGCCACACTGGGGCTTCTCAGAGCTGCACCCAAGCGTCCTAATCAATTCTACATTTTGGAGAAGAGCAGGACGGAGGGTATGTGCCACTTTCTCCAGGGATGCAAGAACGGGATGCTCGTGTGTCACCCTGCACCCTTCCAGCGCTGTTATTTGCTCTGTGCCATGAAGCCAAGTACCTACCTACCCCAAGAGTCCTGTGGTGTGAAGAACAGGCAGCCCTGGATGATGTCCTCATTGTTGTTGGCAGGAAAGTCCCCACAGATCACGTTGTCCAGCAGGATGTCCAGGGTCTAGATCATCTCTGAATGGCCACAGTAGCAGCGGAAGCAGATCCACTCTGGAGGGCTGTACTTTGGCATTCCCGCAGGACACAGGCACAGCTCATCAGGTGGATGCTGCTCCCTCTCAAACCCTCGTTTGTCCGGGCATCCCTGGGGATGTCAGGGCTGCACTGGTGGCACAAGGCACTCCCACTGCCTTCTCACCAGTGCCTGAGTCTTGTTTACAAATTTTGGGTTGTGAAAGAAAACCTCTGGTGCTGCAAGGGGACAGTTGAGTAGGGAAAACCCTGCTTTTATCCCCTTACCCCCTACACATGTATTGGCAAAGAAAAAATATCGTAGGCCAAAGCTGAATAAGGGAGTAGAACAGCCCAAATCCTTCTGCGACTGAAAACAAAAAAGGAATCCCTACTCCTCCAGGAAATCCCAGAAGTCCTGGGTGCACTCTGGATGGTCCATCACAAGCACGAAGCCGTCGGGGAGCTCGCACTAATCCAGGAGCCTCACGACGGCCTCGGAAGCCACAGAAGGACGCTGTAGGAGCAGCACCGGTTCCAGGGGAGGAGGGGACCGCGATGCCGTCAGCGGGGCTGATGCTGCCCCGGGGGTCCGGATCCCCTTGCCACCCCCCAAAGGGGATGCTCCGGCGTCCCCCTGCCCGGCCCCGCCAGTGGTCGGCATTCCCCGG